GGAAAGTCTTCGGGACAGAGGAGTTTTTGCGCTTTTCGGTTTCTCAGTAACGCGACAAAAGAGCAAAAAAAGGCAGGTGATGCAGCAGCTGTTTATAACTGCTGTAACATAAATGATAACAGGAACTGATGATAACTTTTCTTGCCAACGTTTCATAATATTAAATATGACTATAAACAGTTAAAAAGCATAGTGTAATCAAGCGCAAATGGTAATCAACCCACCCTGAAGTGGATTATTTTCATATATTTTATAACTGCATGGTCTGTTGTGTGTTATTCCTTACATAACCATTAACATTGTTGTAAGGTGGAAAGATGGGGGCGGGGTTTTCCTAGACAGAATTACTGAATGTTTCAAATGGCTGTCTGTTAAATTATACTGTTAAATCCTACAAGCTAGAGATCATGAGCCTCCGTGTTATTGCTCCACATTTACAGAAAAATGAGTATTAATTTTCTTTTCACAAAATTGCTTTAGACCAGTTTTCTTGTGGAAAGCCCGATATTGCTTTACTTACAGGGTATTACAATCTGCTTTGATTGTATGCTTAAAAAAATGTAAAAATTCATTTGTTGTTGATCATTCAAAGCACGTCTAACGGGATAACCTTTTTCTAATTTGAAGGCACACTTAGAAATGGTTTGTTTGACCATTTTTCGTCACCGTATTTCTGACATTTTCAGCCCTACATGCCCGACAGCCGACATTTTTTTGGTTCATTTTATTAAGTGTAGTGTGATATGAAATCAAATAGCAAATGAACCAAAAGTATCATTCAATTTTGCTCTGATTTAAAATCTGGAACTAAAAAAGGAACTATCTTGTATTGCAGACGTCCCGTAGACTTAAATGTAAATCTAAACAGATTTTTAAAAAAGTATGCACTATCATTCTTCAATAAATAGAAATTGTAATTTTTCGCAAATCGCTATGGTGTAAGAGGAATAAAACACTTCAGGATGTGCCATTACAGGAAAACAATCAACTTCCGTGTGGTGACAGCTTCATCGCACCACCCTGTCGTTGATTATTTTACTATAACAGCATGGAAAGGTTCCTGTCTCATTGCTGGAGTGGGGACATCCTAGATTTCTAGGACACTACTGACTGCATTTAGACAGAGTATAAAGTGCAGGCGTACCTGTGTGTGTGTGTGTGTGTGTGTGTGTGTGTGTGTCGTATATTGCAGGATTTGAGATTTGCACTGTTCATGTTTCATTAAGAGCTTACGAGCGTGATTTTAAAGGTCTTGTACTTGGATTTCATTCCCCTAAATCTCGAAAGATTTTGTTGACTCTAGGATACTTTCTCAGTTTCTCACCCTCTCTCTCTCTCTCTCTCTCACTCACTCACATATACACACGCACACACACATATACACACACACACTCAGAAAGACGCCCACATACTGTAGACATTCCTCTTCATCTATTTTCAATCTGCGTTATCCTCTTTCCAAACTCGTCGCTTTCACCCCTCCGTATGCTTATTTGTGAACACTTCTTTTCCTCTCCATGCCAGATATTCTTCAAAATAAAACTCCTCCTTTTCCCTGGCTCCACATGTCAGCTGTCTTGCTTTTCTGCAGGTCTTCTGCATTTCCTCCGCTTCTGCATAGTCGAGGCGCAGGCGCTAGAACCAATGCCGAATCCTTTCCTAAGTTGGGGAGCAGTAGGGAAAGAGGGACAGAGAAAGGAAAAGACAAAGGTGTAAGCAGAGACACTTGTACTGTGCCAGCAGAGCTGCTTAATCATAATTAAAAACCTTGAATGGGAGCCAGGCGGCGTTGGCAGCCATCCTCCTGTTCCTCCTGTTCCTTCTGTTAATATTGCCATTAATCCTCACAAGCCTGTTTGAACTTCATTATAGCTGAGCGCGTCCAGACTCTGTCTCCGGTGAATTTTCTCCTGCAGGCTCATGGTCTCGGCTCATCAGAGCAACATGATCCAACTAGCCTTCTCCTTATCTCTCTCGTACCCCTTTATACAAATACATATGATGATAACTAATTTCACAATATAGCACAATATTGAAGATGATCATTATTTTTTTTTTTTTCATTGACTTCCATTCTATAGGAATCTTAAATACAGTAAATACAGTGATTGGATTCAAAGCATCCAGCATTTCTTTCTTTTTTTCTTTTTTTTCCTGGATGTATTACAAATTCTCGGAACAGACATGTCACAGAAATCTGTTGCTGTTTGTAAATGCCAGACAGACTCCAGTTGACTAACTGTTGAGTGCAAAAGTTCGCATAAAATTAAAGATAAGCAGGGGCGGATATAGGATTCTTCAAAATCGTGGGCCGCAAATGGGCCGCAAATGGGCCATATTCAACCCAGCGAGGCCAAGTGTGTGTCCCATATTCATGCATAATTCTCTGTTCAGTGAGCTTTACACATTTTTCACCAGTCATACCTTGTTTCCTGTTGGCGCTACAGCCTTGGACACTCACATCATTGAATATGCTTTGCAATTTGTTCATTAAAGCCTCTTAAGTTCAAGGAAAAAGGCTGGACTGGAAAATCACAGACCTGAATAAAGCAATTTCACTTTACAGTCCAAATACAGTACATTTAAGTATAATAACATGGAGACATTTTCCTCTTTAACGTAAATCAGTACATTTACAATGCATAAACAATACATACATATGTTGTGGTTTAACGTTAAGACACAACAGCTTACCACAGCGACTGACTACTTTTGTCTACTTTCGTCTCAAAGAAGCAGTCCATGAAATTTAGTAGCTATGCTGCCATAAAAATGTTACGTTGTTTGTCTAACGTTAAAAGTAACACACTGTTACTTTAGCTAGCTGAACCGCTGCGCCTAACTAGCTAACATTACCTATCTCAGATTGTAGCTAGCTAGCTAAGCAGTGTAGTTGAAAATGTGTTCCGCCAGCTAACATTACCTTCCAACAATGCTAAGCTTCACCAGCTAGCTAGCTAAATAATCATGTAGCTCTAAAAATGTACACTCTAAAAATGTTGGGTTAACAACAACCCAGTTAGTAAGAAAAAAGCAGCTTGTCATTTTTACTAAGAACCAGGAAAGTGCGAACTTTTTTTGTCCTTTCCAGTGTCAGAAAAACTTTAAAGGTACTGCTTGACACTGGAGACTCCTTCCAAAAAACTAAAAAAGAAACATTTCCTTACAGAAAACTTCACCATATCAACAAATATACACATTCAATTCATTTATGTGGCGCGTCCTCTGTACAAGCTCCTGTGAATGAGTTGTTACTCTAGAAACGATAACGTATTAGAACGAGCGCATTTAAAATAAACGTGATTTTCCTGTGAGCTGCTGTTCGAGAAAATTAATCAACACCTTCTGACCAGTCGAATGGAGAATTCAAAAGCACTGTGGTGTAAAGAAATTGAATTTGTTGCGACGAGATATTTAATGTGCTAACAAGAAAAGGTACAATAGTGAGTGTTTAGATGATAATGAAGGAATAAAGCCTGCATCTCGACTTACTGAATATTACCCTTTGCCTTTAATACTGTATCCAACCTCTTTTGTATCCTTTGAAAAGCCACATTTCATTATAAACATTTTTGAATTGTATTTTATGGAAGAAAAATTGTAAAATAGAGGTCCGTTTCCTATTCAAAAATCACTGCAGGGGGTGCAAACTTTTGCACCTAACTATTTTGGGCTAGAATTCAGGGGTGGAGGGAGAAAAACACAGACATGACCTATCTGGATGCTGATAAAATAGCAGAGTAGCACTTACAACGCATATAAAGTGCATATAAAGCAGAAAAGATTGCTTAGGCTATTTCTTTGTCTGGACGAAGGCTTTTCTCTACGGGGTGAATTCCTTCTTGACACGCAGTCTGTTGTGGTAATTTATACACAACTAGGTGACGAACACTCGGCCATCTGGATAAACACGTGTTTTAATGTCCTGGTTTAATTAAGGATCGTGTTTAGGTTTGTAAAATCGCACTGATTACTTACGTAAGTAGAAGTGTGCAGTACGGTGGTGTAGCTATGGGGGGGTCGAGTGGGTCGTTCAGCCTACCCCTGTAAACAAACAAACCTGAAAAATAAACCACAAATTAAACCACACAGATAGTTTGGACCCTTCTCCCTCAGTACACAGAGTGTCTGATGCTTATTTGTACACCTTTCTGGCAAGAAGCTTCAGAATCTTGTATGAAGTTTAAATACTACTGGCTTCAAAACCAACTTTTGGACACTGGAAATGAATGAGATCCTCGGAGCAACATATATACTGGATTGAATAACTTTCACAGCGTCACGTCTTTTTGAAGCATTTGAAGTTATTCAAGAGTTGTTGTGGTTTTTTTTTCCCGTAAAGATAAAACTGACGAAAGCAAACGTGAGCCTTTCTAGTTTATTCGAGTTTACACTCTTAGAAGAGAGACAATGTACACGTGTAGTGGTGAATAAAATGCGACCGACGTTAAGATATAATAATGATGTTGTTGTTCTTTCGGCTGCTCCCGTTATGGGTTGACACAGTCGATCTGTAACGTAGTGATTCTAGCTATGCCCGTTACCTTAAATCACACTTCACAGAACAGTACAAAAAAAAAAAATAACCGCACTCTTACAATTGCGAAAATGTTTTTCTTTTTAATTGAACCCAAAGTGGGGCTTGTTTCTTTTTCCACTGTCCCTTGCTTATTCAAAGCATGTGAAAGTACGCAACAAGTAACAACCAAAAATAAATCAGCTCATGAAATAATTTACCATACAAGTCAGCATCAATATATCACAGTCGTCATTCAAAAGAGGGAGAAGAATACACAAGTCTACAAGTCATCAATAGTAAATCAATAGATGATATAACTACATCTGTAAATATTCCGACATAGTACTTGTCAATGCATCAAGTCTCTGTAAGTTCATAACTGAAGCAACCCAAACATAACACATCAACTCATCTCGCATTAACTTATAACACATCAACTTATGGTTCCTTACTCATCCGCATGTTTGATTTGTGGGGTTGGTTCCTTGGCAGGGAATCGGACCCGGGCCACGGTGGTGATAGCGCTGTGGCCTAACCACTAGTCCTCCAGGGACCCTAAAATATAATATTTAATAATAATAATAATATTTATTATTATTAGTAGTAGTAGTAGTAGTAGTACTATTGCAGATTGTACACTACTGTGCAAAATTCTTAGGCATCCTAATTTTTTAAAATACTAATTTTCTCTTTATAGAAACTTTATAGAAGTTCTTATGTTAAAAAAAAAAGGTTAATTATTTTTGAAGGCAGCTTTGCTTTTCAGCATTTCTTTACACATGCCTGAGACTCTTGCATACTATTGTAATTAAATTATCCAAATATCGTCATAACGCCATATGTGGTCTCATATTTACTGAAAAGTTTACTGTATTTTACCCTTTTGAGTCATAAAGCGTGATAAAAATATACTCTAGATTCATTCATAGCTCCTTTAAGAAAAAAAAAAAAAAAAAAAATTTTAAGTTATAAGCATTAAGGGTACATTTTGTGATGGTCGCTGAGAAACTTTTCTTATTCATTGGTCCTGCATCTAACAGAAAAATACCGTCCAACATCCTTATATCAAAACTTTTTTTTTCTTTTTTGACATTTAAACACATCTATGATTATTATAATACATAATATTATCACACATAATAAGTTTAAATAGTGGCCTCTGAGTGAGGAGAAAAGAAAAGCTTGTTACTAGAAATAAAAGTTTTTGAAATACAACTGGTGTCTAATTAAGTGATAACTGGCAGATAAAGCTAGAAAGTTCCATTGTTATGGAGTATTCTTAACAACTGGTTATTTAAGAGTCTCTCACTCACTCTGTCCTCTAATCAGGCAGCGAGGAGGCGGGGCCACGACCTTCGCCCTGATCTGTTGTCTAATTGGACGCTGCATTTGCCACTTGACGGAGTGGAACATTAAGGACGCTGTAATTGGGTGTTGTCAGGTTATTAGCGGCGGACATGTCCGGGGTGGACGGAAATGCCGAGCACGTCAAAGCCGGGAAGCGAGGAGCAGCAGGAAAAAAGCCTCATTTATGAGAAAGCAGCAGAAAATCCTAAAGTCACAGCTCAGAGGCGCTGGCCTCGCTCTTCAAACACGCGCATCAGTCAAACAGCAGTTCCTGGGAGGCAGCATGCTGGGTGTATATACAGAGACACATTGGTGTGTGTGTGTGTGTGTGTGTGTGTGGTAGTGCTGCTCACAGCATATGCACTAAAATAAGCGCCTGACTGATACGTTCTCGGCTCACACACTGACTCATGAGAGCGTTCGCTCTGTATAATGAGCACATATAAACACACACACACACATGCGCACACACAACATTTCACGTTATTTCTCTTATCATGAATTCAGACATCCACACACGCAAACACACACACAGTCATGTCTAATTCTGGAGCTGATTCTTTTGAAGGAATTTTGAAGGTTCATAAAGTTTAAAGCTGCAGAGTGTAAGATTTTTTAATTTAAAAATATTATTGTTTCAGGAAACAAACTAAAATAAATGATTCAGAGCTGACATCATACACCACCTCGAGTACGTCATACATCATCTGGTCTCAAGTTTATAAGGAATGTTAGCTAGCAGGGTAGTTATCCAAATGAAAACAAAAAAAGGATCAGTTCGTAAACTACACAGCGAAAATACAGTAAAAATATACACACCAAACGCGACCAGATGTGAGAGTTTAGTCCTTCACAATGTGTTTCAGCTAGCTAGCTTCAGCACATTCCCAAGTGTTTATTTCTCTTATACCACAGCAATTTTTCAACAATTATAATGTTTTTATTGATTTTTATTAAGAACGACGCATCATACTTTTAAACCGTTTAAAAAAGTTAGTTCCTGTTTTCTCACTTACGTTATAGCAGCTATAAAGAGTCATTCCCTCGCCAATACACAGCTTGTGATGTTACTAATAAACCATAAAGCGTAAACTCCTCCATCTTGAAGACTTTTCCTAACTTTACATCGGAAAACGCAAAGTTAAAGCTTTATGTCTGACTGTTATAAAGCACTGACACTGGAGACTCCTTCCATAAATGTTAAATAAATATGCGGAGTATCTGCCATACTCCCAAGTCCTTGTGTGAGTTTTTACTATAGAAACGATATCGTATAACAGTGAGCATGTTAATATAAAGCTGTGATTTGCCTTGTAGCTGGAACTATTATCAGAGCTTCTGTTATAGAAAAAAATTAATCAACACCTTCTGACCAATCAGAATCAAGAATTCAAGAGCGCTGGGGCAGAAATGGCAAAATACAGGATTTTTCAGATGAAACTAATTTTATCTCGTTAGGGCAAAAATGCAGCATGACGTCAACCTGCTTGGAGCCATCGGGTGCCATCTTTTTTGCACACAGCTATACACCTGCATGCTAATGTTAATCTCTCTTCACTCTTACACACCCACACACACACACACCCACACACACAAAATGATTAACAGGAAAACATCTTAGCTCTCAACGAAGTTCTTCTCACTAGCATTTCTCACTAACATACACGCTACTGGTTGGCTGTCACTCTGTGCGACTGTGTGTGTGTGTGTGTGTGAGTGTGTGTGTGTGTGTGTGTGTATGTATGTTTAACACCTAATTCACCTAAGGAAATAAACAAGCGCCACTATATGATAACGGCTCTCGAGCCGGCAGTTCCTGATGAATTGGCCAATTCATGAAAAATGTATGGCGCAGCAATATCCTTCCCTCTCTCCCTCTTTCTCTCCCTATCCATCTTTCCATCCCTCATTCCCTCTCCTCATCTTTCTCCCTCTCTTCCCCCAAAGACCACAATTACCGCGCTCCTCATTACGCAGCCGAGACGACAGGAGGCCACTCCATCAATCTGAGACTCTTTATAAGTATCGTAATACACACGTGGCCTCCGTAACTCACTAAATCGACTCTCGGAAGAGCTGAGCCGACGCTCCACACCGTCCTCACGCAGCTAAAGACTTCACGAAGATTCATAATCCAGGACGCTGTGTGCGATTCCAAAGATTTTTTTTTTTTTCTTTTTTTTTCTGGAGAGCTTCTGGGATGAACGATGTTCTCATTAGGGGTGTGTTTTCTGTAAAGCATGGTTCGAATCAAAAGTTTGTAGAACTGTAGCTTAATGAGCTCATTTAAGTTTGTGGACCGGAGACGAAGGTGGACATTAAATTGTCCCTGAACATGAAATTTTAAACCGGTGAATATAATCTATGGTGAATAATAAATACCTGAGAAATGACCACAATGCCCAGAGAACATCTGCTCACCTTTTATGCTCCATTAATCATTAAAAATGCCATGATCTTTAAATATACAAATCGTAAATGCCCCGTGTTCTCCTGCTAGCTGGCTAGCGCACATTCATCACAGTTCAACGTGGGGTTTCAGTAGCAGAGTCACGATTTTCATCATCTATCCCATACGCTGTTTAGACTGCAGTAGGAAAAGCTTTTCTTAACTTCTTTAACGAAAGCAACGTCAGACGTCAGCGCGACCCTGAGCAGGATAAAGCGCTTACTGAAGAATGAACGTCAAACGCTAAATCTTTATTACGCTGCTGTTTTCAGCCGGACACTTTGAGTCTCACAGTCTTTTGTGACTAATCACTTTTACATCATCTTCCAGAGTGGAAGCACATGGAAACACAGACCTTCACATTTTTTGCTGACTTTTCAGAATTTTTTTATTAAATTGTGAAATGTTTCAATAGAACCTCAGTTAATTACAGATATAATAGCTAGCCTGTGTTTTTGGAACAATGGTGATCAGTGATTGGTTTTTAACAACAATGGTGATCAGTCATTTCTGGTTGGGAACAATGGTGATAAGTGATTGGTGTTTGGGAACAATGGTGATCCATGATTGGTGGTTGAGAGCAGTGGTGATCAGTGATTGGTTTTTTAATAACAGTGGTGATCAATGATTGGTTTTTGGGAACAATGGTGATCAATGATTGGTGGTTGATAACAGTGGTGATCAGTGATTGGTTTTTAGGAACAATGGTGATTGGTGGTTGGGAACAATGGTGATCAGTGATTGGTTTTGTTAGGAACAGTGGTGATCAGTGATTGTTTTTTTAGGAACAATGGTGATCAGTGATTGGTTTTTTGGAACAATGGTGACCCATGATTGGTGGTTGGGAACAATGGTGATCAGTGATTGGTGGTTGGGAATGGTGGTGATCAGTGATTGTTTTTTTTTTAGGAACAATGGTGATCAGTGATTGGTTTTGGGAACAATGGTGATCACTAATTGTTTTTTTTTTTAGGAACAATGGTGATCAGTGATTGGTTTTGTTAGGAACAGTGGTGATCAGTGATTGGTTTTGTTAGGAACAGTGGTGATCAGTGATTGTTTTTTTAGGAACAATGGTGATCAGTGATTGTTTTGTTTTTTAGGAACAATGGTGATCAGTGATTGGTTTTGTTAGGAACAGTGGTGATCAGTGATTGTTTTTTTAGGAACAATGGTGATCAGTGATTGTTTTTTTAGGAACAATGGTGATCAGTGATTGGTTTTGGGAACAATGGTGATCACTGATTGGTGGTTGAGAACTATGGTGATCAGTGATTGGTTTTGGGAACAATGGTGATCACTGATTGGTGGTTGAGATCTATGGTGATCAGTGATTGGTTTTGGGAACAATGGTGATCAGTGATTGGTTTTGGGAACAGTGGTGATCAGTGATTGGTGGTTGGGAACAATGGTGATCAGTGATTGGTGGTTGGGAACAATGGTGATCAGTGATTGGTTTTTGAGAACAATGGTGATCAATGATTGGTGGTTGGTGATCAGAGAACCTGCTCTCTCAGCTGTGATGTGAGCTTGCAGAGCCATATCGAGTGCAGGACAGTAGCTAATATCTGCTCAAAAAGTGTCATTAGCCCCTTTTTAAAAAAAGTCACTAAAGGGCTTTAGCAATTTAGCGAGTCACCAAGTTGACAATGCTGACCTAGTACTTCCACTTTTAGTTTTTTTTAGCAGTTCTAGTATTTCATGAGGGTGTCGGTAGTGTTGAGTTGCCCAGTGTGAACATGATACTTGCACTAAAA